CTTATGTGAAAAAATAATGACAGAAAACTTCCCTAACTTGGTGAAGGAAACAGACATACTAGTCTAGGAAGCACAGAGTCCCAAATAAGATGAACCCAAAGATGCCCACACCAAGATACATCATAATCAAAATATAAAAGGTTAAAAACAAAGAATCTTTTTTTTTCTTTATTGATTTTTAGAGAGAGGAAGTGAGAGGGAGAGAGAGATAGAAACATCAATGAGAGAACATTGACTGGTCGCTTCTTGCATGTGGGGACTGGGCCTACAACCTGGGCATGTGCCCTGACTGGGAATCGAATTGGCAACCTCTTGGTGCATGGGTCAATGCTCAACCACTGAGCCACACCGACCAGGCTAGAAAGAGTGAATCTTAAAAGTAGCAAGAGAAAAACAGTTAGTTACCTACGAGGAAGCTCCCATAAGACTGTCAGTCGATTTCTCAAAATAAATTATGCAGGCCAGAAGGGAGTGACAAGAAATATTCAAAGTGATGAAAAGCAAGGAAAGGACCTACAACCAAGATTACTCTATCCTGCAAAGCTATCATTTAGAATCGATGGACATATAAAGAGTTTCCCAGACAAGAAAAAGCTAAAGGAATTCATCACCACCAAACCAATATTATATGAAATGTTCAAGGGTCTTCATGAAGAAGATAAAAAATATGGACAATAAAATTCCAATAAAAACATATCTTCCAATAATTAAATCTACAAGCCAAGTGAACAAGCAGAACAGAAACAGATTTATAGATACAGAGAATATTTTGCTGGTTGTCAGATGGGAGGGGTTTGGGAGGATGGCTAAAAAAGGTGACGGAATTAAGAAGTACAAATTTGTGGTTAGATTGACAAACCTCAGAGGGAGGAGGTAAGGGGAAGTGGGAAGAGATAAACCAAAGAACTTATATGCATAAATGCATAACCAATATACAGACAATAGTGTGGGGAAGGCAGGAGGGGGCAGGAGTGGGGAGGAGGGGTCAATGGTTGAGAAAGGGGGGACATCTGTAATACATTCAACAATAAAGATCAGTTAAAAAAAAAAGAAAAGCAAACATAATGACTTAAAAAAATACAATACTATTTACAATCACTCAGGGAAAAGGAAATACATAGAAGTAAATCTAAAAGAACTTTTTGTCTTGTACACTAAAAACTACACAACGCTGATGAAATAAAGCAAAGAAGGTATAAATAAATAGACATACTGTGTATATGGATAGGAAGATTTGACAATGTAAAGATGTCAGTTCTCCCCAAATTGATATACAGGTTTAATGCCACTCCTATCAGAAACCCATCAAGACTTTTTGTAGATATAGACAAGATTATTCTACATTTATATGGAAAGGCAAAGGAACTAGAATAGCTAAAACAAATTTAAAAAAGAATAAAATGGGAGAAATCATTCTCACAGATTTCAAGACTTATATAGTACATTAATCAAAGCTATTTAGTGTTGGTGGAAGGATAGACACACAGATCAATGGAGTGGAACAGAGAACCCAGAAATGGCCCTGCACAAATGTGCCGTCGATTTTTGTCAAAAGTGCAAAAGCAGCCCTGGCAAGTTTGGCTCAGTGGTTGAGCGTCGGCCTGCAGACCAGAGAGTCCTGGGTTCGGTTCCCACTGGGGACATGTACCACACACACACAAAAAAGTGCAAAAGCAATTCGCCGGAGGAATGAGTATTTTTATCAAGTGATACTGGACATCTACAGGCCAAATAAATAAATAAACCTCAAAAGACCGAAGCCTTTTACAAAAATTAACACAAAGCAGACCACAGACTTAAGTGTAAAATGTAAAACTGTACAGCTTTTAGGGAAAAACATAGGAGAAAATCTTCAGGACTTAAGGCTAGGCAAAGAAATCTTAGACTTGATACCAAAACTGCAATTCATAAAAAAAAGCAACACCTGATAAATTGGACTTCATTAAAATGAAAGACTATTGCTCTGCAAAGGACCCTGTTAAGAAGATGAAAAGAAAAGCTACAGAGTAGAAAAATATATATACAACATCTCTAAGAACTAGTATCTAGAATATAAAAAGAATTCTCAAAACTCAGCAGTAGAAAAACAATTCAATTAGAAAATGGGCAAGACGTGAAGAGGATATAGATGGCAAATAAATATATGAAAAGATGTTCAACTTCATTAGCCATCAGGGAGATGCAAATTAAACACATCTAGCAGAATGTCAAAAATAAAAAATAGTGACAACACCCAATACTGGTGAGGATGAGGAAAAACTGGGTTCTTCAGACATGCTAGTGGGAAATCTGATGATGCAGCTACTCTGGAAAACAACTTGGCAGTTTCTTAAAAAGTAAAATGTGCCCAGCAATTGGATTCCTGAATATTTATCACAGAGAAATAAACACTTGTGTCCACAGAGAAACCTGTACATGAATGCTTGTATTTTTTGTGTAAGTCCCAAACTGGAAACAGTCTCATGTCCTTGAATGGGTGAATGTTTAAACAAATTGTGGTACATCTGTACCATGGAATATTACTCAGTAATAAAAAGAAACAAACCAGTGGTGCACATAATGATCTGATGACTCTCCAGAGAATTATGTTGAGGAGGGGAATAAATCTAATCCATAAAATGATAGAAGTGATGAGCAGATCAGTATTTGCCGGGAGTTGAGAAGGTATGTGGTGGGTGGGGACGGGTTAGGAGGGAATGGTCAGGAGGGGAAGGGAAACATGAGGGGTTCTGGTGATGGAATGTTCTGTATCTTGACTATATCAATGTCAATATCCTGGTTGAGATCTTGTTTTATAGTTTTACAAGATGTTACCACTGGGGCAACTGCAAAGAGCACATGGGACCTCTGTATTGTTTCTTATACCTACATAGGAATCTATAAGTATCTCAAAACAACAAGTTTAACTTAAAAAGAAAGAATGACCATTTATAGGACAATTGGGGATTATAAACACTGACTGGATTTTTAGTGGGATGGTGGTGTTGTATTTTGTTTTAAAAGGTTAGTCTCTACTCTTAGAAGACCCATATTGAAATATTTACAGATGAAATGTCTGGAATTTGCTTTAGATAATCCAGACTGTGGGATGGGCAGGGCAGGTGGGGAAGTGAATAGGCGTAAAGAGATACATATTGGGGCTGGATAACAGGTGTGTGAGGCTTCGTGTAGCCAAACATAGAGCTGTGGGAGTGAGTGTGATACAGTAGTTAAGCCACTGGCTTTGAGGCAGTTGGACCTGGTTTGAATCTTGGCTCTGCTACTTAGCTATGGAAACTTGGGCAAGTTACCTACCCTCTCCGAGCCTCAGTGATCTCATCTGTGACGTGGGGATGATATCTCATAAGGAAGAGGGAGGTACAGAAAGGAAAGGTCCTCTCCCTAGGGACCAGGAGAGGGAGAGAAAGCAGTGCAGAAGCCTGAGGTGGAGGTGGAAGTCCTAGTGGGGCAGTGTCTCGGAATCTAGAAAAGATCCCAAAGAGTTTTAAAACTCTGACAACTGAGAAGAAGCCATTAGGTTCGTGCTCAGAGCATCCTTTTGCTGATAATGGCTTGGTTCCAGTGGGGAGGGTGGGGAGAAGCAGGCAGGGAGAGAGCGCTGGCATTGCGTGTGGCCATCCTCTCAGACTTCGAGGGATGGCGCAGCAGGAGTTCCAGAGGGCAGGTGCACTTAGGGATGTTCAAGAGCAGAAAGGAGGAACCAACAGGGCTGTCGTGACGAGACCAGGAGTCCCAAGAGCAAGGTGGAAAGGAAATCCCCTTCCATCCAGATTGAGGCTGCTACCAAAGCTATTTTATTTGCCCCGATATTTCCCTTCTTCCCGTTCATGGACTTCATTTAATACCCATTCAAACAGCTATTTTAAAAGAAAGAACATTATAGGACAATGGGAAATAACCAGTGCTGATTAGATTTTTTTTTTTTTTTTTTTTTGGTATGTGCCCCTAAGCGGGAACCGAACCCGGGACTCTCTGGTCCACAGGCCGACGCTCAGCTGCTGAACCAAACTGGCCAGGGCCTGACTAGATTTTTTAGTGTTATAGAATCATGGGGCTGTGTCAAACCCTCATGTATATTCATTATTCATTAGGTGTCCCTATTGCATAGTGTATGCTAACTGTGTCCATTGCACCAGTGTGTACTATTACTCTAGGGTGACCAGTCTGTGACTGACTCACTGACACCCACACTAAGGGCATCTGTGTTCAACCTGGAAATCCCTAGGGAGGAAGGTTTCCCCACCTTCGGGGGCGTGATTATTTTCCTTGGTCACCGTGGACTGAAGAACTCAGGTAATGAGTCCTTCGAGGCCAGCTGTGTTAGATTACTGCTGGACACCTGAACACTTCCCCGACCTCCTCTCTATCAGGGTGGCACTGACCCAGAGAACATCCTCCACGTGCTGAGGCAGCAAACTCAAGTGGAGGACTGAGTGGGCTGCTGAGCTTGGCCTCTGCTCACTCAGTGTGAGGATGCAAGAGTCTCCAGTGAATTTCGGGGCAACTCTACCCACAGAACCAGCAGCTACCCCAACAAGATTTCTCCAACCCCCCATCGTACCACTGGGGATGACCCATGGCAGCCCGAGGAACAGAAACCCAGAACGCACAGGAAGGCTTGAGCAGTGGGGCTAGTCTTTATTGAGGGGAGCTGTTCACAACGCTGCAAACCGCACCCCTGCAGCTCTGTCTCCATTCACAGAGCTGTGAAAACATTGTACAGTGAACACTTTCCACTGGCAGAGCATCATGGTAGTTCATAAACTTGTCAATAGACAATGCAAAACACTTTTTACAAGATACAGTAAGTTCAAAGTTTAGATACTTAAGGTATAATTCTAAAAGTAACAGCCTATGTTTCTCCAGGTAAGGAAGACTATTCATTATAAAAATATATAAATTTGAAGTCAGAACTAAAACATTCAATCCTATAAAAATATATTTTACTAATAAAAGTATCAATTTCTAGATAAAAGTTCTTTATCAACAACAGTTACAGTCTTAAGTTCTCAGGAAATACTTGGTGTCAGATGGTCCACTTAAAACAGATGTGTAAAAAGAGCTTCCGGGCAAGGTTGTCAACCTGACTTAGTTTTCAGAGATGGACCACATATGTGATCATGTTGCATATTAATGGCACAATTATTCTATGAAACATCAACTCAAGTATCTATGTATTATGAAAGTCTCTAGTCTAGAGAGAGGGTCCTTAGGAGAAGACACCAGTTTTGTTAGGAGCTGGCTACATCACACTTTAAAATGTCTAACTTGGAAAGCCAGTGGTTGCATTTGGACCACTATCTGAAATCAGCTCATTCATTTCATTTTGCTTACTCTCCTTTAGGGCATGATTGGGGTGGTTTCTTTGTGTCTGGGCTCTTTTTGATCGGAAACACACTTTCAGCAGCAGGTAGCACAACTCGGCCACATTGAGCAGCATGCAAATCACCGAGGCAGAGATCATAAAAATGGTGAACACGGTTTTCTCCGTAGGTCTGGAGATGAAGCAGTCAACAAGGTTGGGGCAAGGATCAATCCCACATTTCAGCACCCAGGGCAGGTGGTACCCATTGTACAGGAAGTAAAACACGTACATAAAGGAGGCTTCGAAGATGATTCGGAAAAATATGCTGCTGGTGTACGTCCACCACAGGGCTCCCTCGATCCGAACCTTCTGCTTTTTAATGTCTTCCAAGTCTCTGAATTCATTTCTCTTCTCTCCTCGTCTAAATTTGCGGGCGGCCTCATGCCGATAGTAGGCAACGTGCATGGCCACAAGCAGGGCAGGGGTGGAGACGAAGATGAGCTGCAGGGCCCACAGCCGGATGTGGGACACTGGGAAGAAGTGGTCATAGCACACATTTTTGCATCCCGGTTGCAAAGTGTTGCAGACAAAGTCTTCCTGCTCATCACCCCACACTTCCTGAGCGGCCACCACGAGGATCATGACACGAAAGATGAAGATGACAGTGATCCACACTTTCCCAATGCTGGTGGAGTGTTTGTTCACACCCCCGATGAACGTGTGGAGGGTACCCCAATCCATTGTGTTGGTTTATTCCTAAACAAACAAAGGGAAATTAATGGAAAGATCATTTGAATTTATACAACAGTAGTCATATTACAGACTGAAGCAAATTTTGCTTAGAGTGTGTTGTGCTAGTTATAACTTCAACCCCTAAATAGCTGGTAGGAGGTTTTTTGGTAAGGAATGCCCAGTCTAAAGACATTCAAAGATTTTTGACCAGAGATAACTTTTGGGGGGATTTAAGGTCATCTTCATTCAACTGAATTCAAATTATATAATAGGTCAATATTTGACATGAATACAGGAACTCAGGTGATTTAAGTTCCTTTCCCAGTTCCCATTAAGTCACTGTGTTTCTCTTTGCCCAGAGATCACAAAGAGTCCACAGAAGGTTTTAGTGATTAAATGGTTTATCCAAGAAAAAAAATTATTCATTGGAATGAAATAATCTGGTTACCTGGCAGATTAAGAAGGGACAGTAAGGCTCTGGATGGTTTGGCTTAGCGGTTAGAGCATCAGCTGAAGGGTCTTGGGTTCACTTACCAGTCAAGGGCCCATACCTGGGTTGCATGTTTGATCCCCAGCCCTGGTTGGGTCATGCTGGAGGCAACCGGTTGATGTGTGTCTCTCACATAGATCTCTCTCTCTCTCTCTCTCTCCCTCCCTCTCTCTTTCTCTCTGTCTAGAAATCAGTGCAGGAATATCATCAGGTGAGGATTAACCAAAAAAAAAGAAAGGAAAGTAAGAAGCCAAATACTTACTGGTTTACTTTACACAATATATTTATTTCTAGCTTGAATAACATCATTTGCCATCATTGTGAACTCTTAGAAAGCCTAATAGCATACCTAGAGAAAGATCTTCTTCCAAAAGAGAATCACAGCTTTCACAAAAGGTGTTCACTCGCTCTTCCTTGTACCCAGGCCGATGACGGCCTCCCTGCCCAGCGGCACCGCTGCCCCGAGCGTGGTGGTGAAGGACCCGCCACTGCAGCACGGAGCCTGGCTCCCTCTCAGCTCCCTGATGTACCGTCCTGGGAGAAAAGGACTCCCCGATGTCAGCAGGAACCTCTCTACGATTCAAACAGATGCCCTCTACAGTGCCACACAAGACTAAAGAGTTGGTCAGCAATCTCCTTGGGGAAAAAAAAAAGATGACTAACGAACACCTTGAGATTCTTCTCAAAGTGAAAGGCCCTCTTCTCAGAAAATCCCACTTGTACAATTTTTCACACCCTTTTAGGAGAGGGAGTCACCAAAGTCCTTTTGTCAATTCATCTTGGACTTTCTCGAACGCACTGGGGCACCCTGCGGTCAGGCGTCTTCCCAGGCTGACTCCCTGGCCTGCCATGAGTTTGCTGACAGTCACCATGGCGATGGCAATGGGACAGACATAGTGTGTCTTAGTGTCAGAATGACCTAGACAGACACCTCTCATGTCACCAGCGAGTCAACTGTCTCTCCGTGGTTCGTATAATGACAACACCCTAACATTGTACTGGAGGAACGTTAGAAAGAATACCCTTGCAGGCAGGACATCCGTGAGTACCGTAAGCCTTCCTAGAAGAAACTCGAGGCCGGGTGGAGAGGAAGTCAGCATGCCCGCTCCCCGGGAGCCCAATCTGAAGTGTTGCGTTCGTTCATATCACATCAGGAAAGACACTGGCGGTCGGGTGACCTGCCAGAGTGTGGCCAGGCGACAAAGCCTGGAAGGACTCTCTCAGGAGGGAACACTGGGGCAGCTGGAGCCGTGTAGCTGCGGGCCAGCTGGGAGGCACATGGCAACAGGAGCATCTAAGACTAAGAACTGAATCCAAAGGTAGAATGAACAGAAAGCCAGGCTTTTAAACTTTTTTTCAATTACAGTTGACATTCAATACTGTTTTATATTAGTTTCAAATATACAGCCTAGTAGTTAGATGATTATCTAATTTAAAAAGCGATTCCCCCCGTAAGTCTAGTACCCACCTGGCACCGTACACAGTTATTAAAATATTATTGACTATATTCCCTGTGCTGTACTTTGCATCCTGTGGTTTATTTATTTTGTAACTAGAAGTTTGTTACCTCTTAATTCCCTTCACCAATTTCAGCTGCCTTCTCAACCTCCCCGCTTCTGGCCACTATCAGTCTGATCTCCATGTCTATGAATCTATTTCTGTTTTGTTTGTTCATTTATTTTGTTCTTTAGATTCCACATATAAGTGAAATAATATGGTATTTGTCTTTCTCTGATTTATTTCACTTAGCATAAATATCCTCGGGGTCCATCAATGCTGTCACAAATGGTAAGATTTCATTTTTTATGGCTGAGTAATATTCTATTGTGTGAGGTGTGTGTGTGTGTATACATACACACCTCATCGTCTTTATTCGTTCATCTTTCAATAGACACTTAGGTTGCTTCTATATCTTGGCTCTTGTAAATTAAAAATAGAACTACCACCCTGGCCGGTTTGGCTCAGCGGTTGGAGCGTCAGCCTGTGGACTGGAGAGTCCTGGGTTCGGTTCCCTCTAAGGGCACGTGTCTCAGTTGCAGTTTGTCTCTGGCCCCGGCCTCGTGTGGGTAGCAACCAGTTTGTGTCTCTCTCACATCGATGATTCTCTCTCTCTCTTCCCCCTCTCTCCCTCCCGCTCTATCTGAAGATAAATGCAAAAATGTCCTTGGGTGAGGATAAAAAAAAATAGAACTACCTTATGACCCAGCAATTCCACTTCAATCCCAGCAAAACCCAATTTGGAAAGATATGCACCCCCATGTTCATTGTAGCATTATTTATAATATTATTTAAGAGATAGAAGGGGTTTTTTTGTTGTTTTTTTTTGTTTTTTGTTTTTTGCCTTTTTTATTAAAAAAAAGAAAAATGAAATAGGTACAACTCTTTAGACACAAACTCTTTGAAGCAATGGTTTCTCGTCCTTAGAACACTGACTCTGAGGCCATGTTAGCGAGGTCGGGGTAATGCAGAGGGCTCGCCCAGGGGTGGTCCCAGGTTCCACAGAGAAACCCTGCCTTCACATACCACTCACCTCATGGCCTAAGAGAAGGTCACTGTCCAGATTAAATTCACCTTTGATTTAAAAGACTCATTTTAGACAAGATGAATTGTACAATTAAATTTTAGTCTCCTGTGGAATTCACTATAACACACTTTCCTTGGTGTTGCTGTTCTATTCGGGAAGCCTTTCAGGATGTGATGGGGGGGGGGGGGCTAGAAAATGTGTCTCCGACATATTTCACAGTGGATGTCTCCCTAGGAGGTCAGTCCCGCTTGTTTATAAAATGAGATGTCCTCTAATTAACCAGTAAACATTTCCCCTTGAGGTTTGGTTAGTTGAGTGCTCAATCAGAGAGTCTTTGATTTAACAAAGAAAAGTTCACATTTTCTCAAAACCTCCAGAGTGCACAGAATATATAAAAGCTGTTTGTGTCCGAGTTCTCTATCACCTGACTGAAACAATGGCACACCTGTGTCACCTATTACCTGCCCTACTGGGAAGCAAACCACTCAAGCTGTCTGAATGCCTCTGGAGAGGCTAAAGCCAGGGGCTGAGGTCAGGAGGTCGCAATTTCCCCCAAAGAATATGGTCCTACATTCTAGAGGCAGGATCCTTGACTTCCGCTCATTGGGGCTTCTCCTTCTTCGAAAACAGAAACAATAGAGACAGCAACAGCTATATTTCTTTTTTACTTCTCTGGGTCCCTAAATCACACCCTCTGAAGACATTCTCTGAAAGTAGCAAAGCTGAACAGAAAATAATCTATTATATAACACTTTTTTACTTTGAATCAGCAAATTAGCTGCACCAGTGTTGCCTACAGTGAAAGGTTCCCTTTCCATTCTTCTGTTTAGTCCGCACGGCTGCTGGGCACCAGGCGCTGGGCACCTGTGCTGCGCCTCAGACTCCCAGTGGATGTGAAGAGCAGGAGGGGAGCTCCGCTCACAGGTGTCGGAGGAGGGCCAGTGGTGTGGCCCACCCCAAACTTCCTACACAATGCTGCAGTCACGCTGCCCAACCCTGAGGGGCTGACGGAGGGCAGAAGATTCGGTAGGTTTGAAAGGAGGCCTGGTTGCCCTTGCCCTTCCCGACCTGACCCCTCAGTGGGCGAGGCTGGGGGAGCAGAGGCACACCACCCCTCAGCCTCTCCCCTGTAAACACATAACTTGGGGTGAACCGTCATAAACAGTGTGGTTATAGGACGTTTGAAGGCCGAGTGCTTTTTGAGAACTGCTTTCCAAACTATCTACACTCGTTGGGACCCTTTGCCACTGGTATCAGTGAACCAATACCTCTTTCCTTTTAGGCTTGCGGCAGGCTGGCGGCAGCCACCGGGAGCAGCTTTTCAGCAAAAAGTAAAGTATTAACCCTCTCTCTGTAAACCAGAGAGGTTTAGCTGGCTCCCTACCGGCTCTCCTTCAAGGAAGGAATGGCTGTGCTCAGCTTCTGGGGTCTCAGTGTGTGAGAATGTGGTCCCACCCAAACATACAAAGTAAACTGTGTTCAGGTTTGTGGTGCATCTAACCATCCACGGCACATTCTCAGTACTAAGCTCCAATCCCTAACATTTACCTCTAAGGACAAGCAAACTGCCCACCTTACTTCTGACGCTACACACAGTATTATGAAGATAGACTGTTCTTTTGACAAGTCAAAGAATTTAAATCTACCAGCATTCTGCTTCAGTAATGGAATTACTTGATTGTTTTAAAATTTCTTATTTAAGAATGTAATCGTAACTAATTTGTTAATAATGGCACTTGGGTTTCACTGATGACAGAAGCAATACTAAAGCCTTCAGCACACATGAGGTGCAAAGGATCTTTCTGAATAGTTCTATCCTCTTTGGATGACCCTTTCAAAGTCAGTCAGCAAATATCTGATAGACTGAGAACACTCCTCACAATGTCCATGCTAGTTTGGAGAGGTGAGAGGTTGGAACTGATAAAGGCAGTGATGACACGCCCGAGCCTGACTCCCAGGCCTCCCAGCCTATCCAGGGGACAGCCAGGACTAGGTTCCCTTTTCAGGGTTCAGGCAGTCTTGGTCTACATCACGCGACTGCCTCGAGGCCAGTGTGGCACCATTGACGACATGAATATAAATCTTTGCGCAGCTTCTGGATGTAGGTGAGGATGCTATCTGCTGAGGAAAAAATAGTCGATGCGGCCATAGCCCTTTCCCTCTTCCCACATGTCTACTGTATGACCTTTGTGGGTCGTTATTTTTTTCATTCCCAGAACTGTTATGAGGAAAGTCTAGATACTGCCAGTTTTGTGTTTCTCTGTAGTTTGAATCCACAATAAAATAAAAATAAATCTTTAGTGTAATTTATTTTTCCTACCAAAATACTACTACTATCACTAACCCCAAACCTCAAGCTTATTACTTGAACATTAAAAAAAAAAAGGAGTAAAGGGAGTTTGCGAAACTGGATATGCTCCCTTACCCCCAACATTAGTAGTTTAAAAACAAATCTCAGACTCTCTTCTTAATCTAGAAGAATCTAGAAATCTCAAGTCATCCAATGGACAAGCTGATAGATGGTTTCTAAATTTAATGACTCAAAACTTCACCAACTGTCCTTTCAAAGTAATGCCAGTGACAAAATGGATTTAGGATTTATATACTTCTTCAAAGTCAATTCAATAAAAATGAACGTATTTTTCTGTCTTTGGAGTCTAAATATAAAAATGAATAGTTCATAGAATTACATGCATTTCTTAATCCAGTTAAGAATTCAAAGAGTTAAACAAAATCATTTCTATTAAGCAATCTCTGTTTATTCAAGTAAATCTGTGTCTTTTCCAAACATTTAAGTGCAAATAGAGTAAAATGACCCTGGGAATAAAACAGAAAAGGCCACCTGGGGACCCATCCATTCTAATGGATCAAACAAGTAAAACAGAAAGCTTCACATATGATCATGCCGCCATGGGAGGAGTCATGACCTTATGGACCAAGAAGCTTGGGTAAAACATTATTCTCCACAATTTTATTCTCCTGAACATTTTGGCTAATGAGTACAAGCCTCTCACAACTCCTGTCAAAGCTGCACGGTGAGGTGAGTCAGGACTTGGAAGTTAGATTTTTCCTGTCACTCCGTTGAAATTGTTTAGTCAGACCCTCTATAATTCTGCTCCTCCCTAATGCTTTTATAATTCAGCAGAGAAAAAATAAGAAATAGAGAACAAGACCGTATTACCTGGAGCAGCTTTTGTTTGAGAATAAAACCACCAGTGAGGCAGTTGGGTTTTGGACAACCTGCCAGTTATATCACAGACTGGAGTGTTAATATTCTGGCTCTATCACCAGGTCTCCCCTCCTTGGCATAGTTCCAACAACACCCCCAAAGTCTTAGCGGGATCCAAACAACAGACAAAGCTCTCCACAGGCGCATTCTGAGCAGCATCCTGCATTCTAAGGAAGCTGCACTGGACAGAACATTTTCTCCTAGAACACTGGTTAGACTCTTAGAACTGAGGGAAGAAAACACTTGCACAGCATAAAGCCCCTGAAGGAAGAGAACACAGTGCACAGTTACATTCAAGCAAGCACTGCATGCACAGCGAGGTTCCTCCCAGGGCACTGAGGTCGCTGGGCCAGTGTCCCTGCAGTGGCTGCAGGTCCCAGCTCATCCTGGTCCAAAGTTGCATTCCCAACACACTCACCTCAGACTGTCCTGCTCGCCGGGAAGGGGGGCCAGCCCAGTCAAAAAAGCTGCAATGACAGTGACACCTGGGACTGACTGTTCTTTACCAGATAGGAAGTACCTTCTGGAGTCTCCACCTTTTAACTGAGATGTGTCACCAGTGACAATTACTATGGTCCAGTCATTGTATTATTGTCATCTGCATTTCACAAGTTCCTGGGGTGCACACCACAGCCATAAGGTCAGTTCTAACTGGGACGCATGGACTGGCCACGAGTCTCCTGGCTTTCCTGTCCCCCAGATCCCAGCGGGACTTTGTCAGCTACCCGCGAACACTAAGACAAGCCCAAAAGCAGCAAAGGAATTGGGGCAAGGGCACCCGTCCCCAGCCGGCCACTCAGATATGCGGTGCGATGCATTCAATAAACCTGTTGTGCAGGTCAAGGGGGACTATCTGGGGTATAAGCCAAACCAGCCCTTCCTGCTTCCTCGAGCACGCAGGATGCGGATCCGGGCTGATAATGTCGCCCTGGGCAACCTGCGCGGGCACCCACCTTGAGGCCACAGGGCCCACCTGGAGCAGTCGCCAGCCAGGGCGACAGGGAGAGGAGGACAACGCGGAGAGGAGGGCGACAGGCTGCCGACACCCATCTGGGCTCCGCGGGGGGAGGGGGCAGTGTGGGGCAGCGCCCCTCCTCGGAGAGGCCCCGATCACCCCGCACCCGGCCCGCTTACCTGCTCGGGCACCGTGGCGGCGCGGGTCTGGGCGCGGGGTCTGGGCGCGCGGCGGCGCCCTCGCTGCGGCCGGGCGGGCGGGCCTGTGCTGGAGCCTGCAGTCGGCAGGGCCCCCACCTGCGGCGCCTTTTAACCGCGCCCCACCCCGCCTCTGCCCTGACGCTCCCGGGCGCACGGACAGCCGAGCGTGCGGTGGCCAGCGCGGGCCCGCCCCGGAGCGCGGGGACCGGGGACCGCAGGGACCGAAGAGGGGTGCACCACAGGCTTCCCTGGGGGGGAGGGGCGCAGGGATCACAGGACGGCTTGGGGGGTGCGCGGGGCACAGGATGGGCCCCTTCGTTGGGGAGCTCAGTGCTCGGGGAGGGCAGGGCAGGACCCTCGCCTCCTCCTCCCTCGGGGAACAGGGGGTGTGGGACAGGTCCTCCCTAGGGCACGTGGGGCAGGGGGCCGGCCAGGCCTGGTCCTGTGGTGGGGTGGCCCGTGTCTCCCGCTGGGTGGCTGCTCACCCCAAACCGGGACGCCCTGGGGAGAGGGCCTGGGAGAGTGGGCCCATCGCCTGTGGCGACGCTTCCAGCCCAGGATCCTTTGGGATCAGGATGAAGGGCAGGCTGTGTTTCGCCAGGACACATCGTCCTGGTTTTCTGTGCGCTGCCACCTCTCGTAGACCACCGGTACCCTCACAAGGCCCTCTTCTAGAGAGCAGCCTGGAGGCACACCGACTGTTTTTCCCAATTAATTAATGACCACTTAGAGGCGTTAAAGGGATTATTTTATGAGTTACTTGCATCCTTTGAAGCCTCCCCCAGGGGAAGCAAAGTGGGTCTCCCCCAGCCACCACGTGGAGACCCTGGCCCTGCCCCTTTCACGGACCGGGCTCTGGTGCCCAGAGTGGGCGCAGGGGCTGGTGCAGGGGCTGCTGGGGTGGAAATGTAGGAAACTATTTAGGGACCTGTCTTGACAGGTTCAGTCATCTTTCATCAGATAAGAGATGTGTGACTTGCTTCTCCCACAAAATTGGTTGGTAATTAAAAGTGTCCCCACCTAAACTGTATGCTACTTGTTAGGTAATATTCTTTCATGCAACAGGATCAGTGGTGGTTCTTAAAATGTCTCTTTAAGGCCATGAAAGAAGAGCCTAGACTTCATAAAAATTCACCTTCTGAAATGTTTTATTCTAGGAGAGTAAGTCCTCAGTGAACTGCCCGAGTCAGGTCTGTTCAGGACACTTTGGGTGGCACCTGGAGTGGCCTTGCACCTAGGGGTGGGGAGATTTTTAAAAAACAAACCTGTTTTAGCTTCTTCCATTAGACAGACTTACTGCCTTAATGTGTCCTGTGCCTTGAACCTTCGGCTAGCCTTCAAGGTTTGGCTGGTGCTCTCCTTGCCCTGCCCCCAATGTGGCATCTTTCCTGTCTTCTCACCATCACTCCCCCCAAGCAGACACTCCAGCCAGGCACAGCTGTCTGCATAGTAAAATCAGAGCATTTTAAAAGCTCTGATTATACACCTGTTGGGTTTATGAACAGTTGAAGCCTTTCTGCGCATTCCCACAGCACCAGGGAAGGGGTTGCATACAGGTGTTGCTCCATGAGTAGTTGCATATTGATTGGCAAAGCCCAGCCACCATAGCAGATAATCCTGGAAACAACTTTTGCTCCCGCAGTGGGACTGCCCAGATTTTACGCCTACAGCTCGTGCCATGCAAAAGTGTTTTGAGCAGTGACATTCAGGACCAGTGAAAATTGTTGCAGGACCAGTCCAGAAAAGAACTTCGAACCAAAGTAGCCACAAAGAATGTGTTGCATTGATTCAGGTGTCCAAAAAGGGAATCATCTCAACGTGGCAAGAATATCTTTTCCTGTTCAGGTTATCAATACCAGCCCCGTGGTGCTGGCCTTTTATTTTGTTACATGTTTCTTAATGTTTAGTCCCATTATTCAGTGTTCACTTCTCATCAGATGGTCCTGTTGTAGCAGAAATTAATGGACTATGTGAAAGTTATCAACATGCTGAGATCTTCATGTGAAAACTGAAAAGTTAATGAAACATTTTATGCTAATGATATCCAAAGGTATTAGACTGATGACTGCTTTGTTGACTTTGTGTGCCAAACATGAAAATACCTTCAGGTTGTAATCACAACCCTACTGTCCACTTAAAGTGTCATATGATTCCAAAACAAAGACTTAGGTTGCCCTAGTTCTCATCACTGACCTAAAATTCTTGTGATTAATATCCTCCCTCTGTATCTGAAGGATGATTTCTGAGTCCATACATTTAATCTGCACAAAATGTGTAAAGTGTGGATTTCCCATTGGCGTACCAGAAATGGCAACATTTGAAGGAATGATGGTGAGATTTCCCTTTGGAAATCTATAAATTCTCATTGCCTTTACATAAGAATGAAGGATACTCCACCCCTTCTGGGTGGAGGTGCAGGGACACACACTCGCAGAGTGACTTCCCGTCCAAGCTGGAAACACAGCACAGGGACTCTTTCTTGTAACCAACATAGTCCTGGACATATGGAAGAAAGAGAGCTGTGTGCTCCCTGTAAATAAAGACAAACATTTGTCTGTTTGTTCAACAAGAAAGCCTGCACTGAGCAGGCCTATGTTAGGCTGGGCACATGAAGGAAACAGTTTCTGTCTTAAGTTTTCTAGCCTGGTTTTCAAATCTGTGTGCAAAGGTCACGTGAGATGCTTGGAAAGGCTAACACAACACTGCACAGGTTGCTGGGAGTCAAGTCGGGTAGGTCTTGCTTGGGGAGCCCAGGAACTGTCATGTTTATCAGCAGTGCCCTGAGCATTGTTGACATGGTGGTCTGAGAGCCATGCTTAGAAATGTGTTACTTATGGATGTTCTTCGCTTTTTGATTTTTAATTATAGTAAAAATACATATAACATAAACTCACCTATTTAAACATTTAAAATTGTACACTGTACAAAGGTGTTTGGTATATTCACAAAGTTGTGTAGCCACCACTACTTAGTTCTAGAACATATTCATCACCCCAAAAGGAGCCCACTGCTCAGTGAGCAGTCACTCTCCATCTTCCAGCCCCTGGTTAACTACTACTCTGCTCTCTGTCTCTACGGACTTGCCTGTTCTGGATGCATCTATAAAAGGGTCACGTATTTGTGGCCTTTTGTGTCTGGCTTCTTTCATGTGTCATGAGGTTTTCAAAGCTCATCCACGTTGGAATGTGTGTCAGTCCTTCATTCCTGTTGGTGGACGAATAAAATGTGACATGTCTACATCACATCTCGCTTATCTATTCATCTGTTGATGGACACTTTTTTTTTCTTAATTCTCACTTGAGGACGTTTTTGCGTTTGTCTTTAGAGCAGGAGGGAGAGAGGAAGGAAGAGAGAAAGAGAGAGACATTGATGTGACAGAGAAACATTGACTGGTCGCCACCCATAAGACCCCAACCAGGGCCCAGGGACAAACTGCAACTGTGCCCTTAGAGGGAACCCAACCTGGGTCTCTCTGGTCCGCGGGCCAACGCTCTAACCACTAAGCCGAACCGGCCAGGGCTGATGGACACTTTTGTAGTCCTGGTTGTGATTGGTGACATGAAACTCATTTGTTGACTGATGGATTCTGAGGCGTGTGGCAGCTGGGGTCAATGCGGTATGTCCACGTGGCGGGGGAGACTGGCTGGCCTGGCTGTGGGGCTTTGTGCTGAGGACTCGGGGGACCGAGTGGCCAGGCAGGGCCAGAGTGAGGCACCTGTCATCAAGAAGCGGAGTTCAGACTGTTAGACTGGCTGTGAAACGAGGAGGAGGAGCAGGACCACCAGGTGACTGGACTCGGGCAGTTCACTGAGAGTTGGTGTGGTGTGACTGCCTAGCAGCCCCTGGCGCTCTGGGTGTCATCACTAGGAGTCTGGTGGCTCAGTGAGCTGCACCCTCCCTGCCTCCCTTCTAAGCAGCCAGGTGCCCCCTTGGAGGAGCTGACAGCTCTCAAGCCACTTCCCCACTTGTCTAACTTTTAACTTTCTGAGTATTTAATGGAGCGTCTCCTCTACAGGAGACGCTTACAAAGTGCAAACAGAAGGGCAGTGAGTTTCTATCAGGGGAGGAGTCACTACACTGAACGACCTTCAACCAGGCGCTGTGTGGGCAGGGTCTGGACTCAGTGGCTTTCCTAAGAAATACCCGTGACGCAGCCACCGCTGGAGAGAGGGAACGCTGAGTCAGACATTTGTTTTCGAGCCCGAATGATCTAGAAGAGAATCACATTTCTCTTCCACTGTCGAAAAGAGATGTTGGTCAAGGAAGCTGACTTGGGAAAGAGTGATTTTGGACATGCTGACCACGGGGTGCTGGCAAAAGGTTATAAATGGAACTTGACTATACGTCTACTGAACCCTCCATCTGGGAGGCCAGTCCTGAGCCTGACTCGACTCAGCCCTCGCTCCTGTGTATCCAGGGTCATCTAGGTCCTGCACTGTCCCCAGCCGTGCTCAGAATCCTTTCCTTTTGTCATGGGCTTGCTTGCTCACAGTCCTTCCCTGGTCCTTGCTTCTCCCAAGTACTCCTGAAGGGTCTCTCCTCACCTGTTCTCCCTGGTCCTGCTTTCCCACCCTGCAAGGCTGTGTCCCCTGCTCCCCCGCTACAGTTGTATACATAATTGCTTTACCTCTCCTGCAATTATTTTCTCATTGTTAGGACATTACAGGACAGAACTCACACCTTACTTATCTTTGTGTCATTGTCCCTCCCCCACCTAGGACCACCACCCAGTGCACAAGCCACACCCCTGCTTCTACGTAATTGACAGAGAAACCCAATCGACTTCAAGGTGTGTTGCGTCAGTACACTGACTGATTGAGAGAGCGAGTTCTCTGAGAAGGACGTGGGTGGGAGGCAAGGTGGAAGTCTAAGCACTGAGCCTTACAGACAGGAGGGATGGGAGCCAGTAATGGCAGAGAAAAGAGGGGAATGGAGAGGAGGAAGGCTAGCCCAGAAGAGAGGCAGAGAGTGGTGGTCAGCTGACTGGGTGGGGACAGAGCATCCAGAGCGAATGCTAGAGAGGATAGAGCGAATCTGTAGAGAGGATAGGAAATTTATTTTTTTATCCTTATCCGAGGACATTTTTCCATTTTTTGTTTAGATACAGTGGGAGAGAGAGAGTGAGAGAGAGAGAGAGAAACATCGATGTGAAAGGGACATATCGAGTGGCTGCCACCCGCACGACCCAACCAGGGCCGGGGACAAACTGCAACCGAGGTACATGCCCCTAGCGGGAACCAAACCCGGGTCTCTCCAGACTGCAGGCTGACACTCCAACCACTGAACCAAACAGGCCAGGGCGAGAGGATAGAAAATTTTAAGGAATTGTCTCATAATTGGTCATTTTCTCTTTCTTCCTGCTATGACTGGCCAATCCAAAATCTGCAGGGTTGGCCACTAGGCAGGGAAGAGTTTATGTTGCAGCTCGAGTCCAAAGGCCATCTACCAACAGAACTCCCTCCTTCCTGAGGGACATCAGTCTTATCTTGTAAGGCCTTCAACTGATTGGGTGAGGCCCACCCACACTATGGAGAATAGTGAGCTTACTGAAAGTCTACTGTTTTAACTGGTAATCACATCTAAAAAGTACCTTCAACAACTAGACTCGTATTTAGCCAAACATCTAGGCACCAGCTCAGCCCAACCAAGCTGACAAAATTAACCATGGCTGGTGGACTCATTCTGCTTCCTAGTTGATGATTCCTGCCACGTACAAAGCTTTGGGGGCCACCACAGTGGACAAGGTCACTTTTCCTTCAAGGGGCTTCTGGTGGAGCTGAGGAGCCAGTCAGTGCACAGCAAGCGCGGTACCGCGAGGGCTGTGGAATGGCAGCCAGCGCAACGGGGGCCACAGACGGACTGAGGACCCGAGAACAAAGCAAGGGTTTCTGGATGAGGAAGAGACTTGTTAAGATCTTAATTTTGTGTGTGATATGCAAATAAAAAGGAACTGCCACAAAATGTTACCAAGTACATGGTATCAGTTTTAAGTGATTTTACAAGCAATTTAAATTCCCCCCAGTGAATATGTGATGTATATATTTATTACAAGAAAAATAAAGATGAAAAAATAAACTAGAAGAGACTAAGGATGTTCAAGGTTATGGCTTTCCTCCTCCTTTTAAACAAAATAACAAAGACCCTATTGGAGACATTAGTGCACCTTCTGGAAAAGAAGAAATCGCTCACTGATAAGGTGTCAGATTAACTAAAATGCATCTTTTTAGAGCAATGGACTGTATTTTGTTTTGTTGTTCACTTTTTTCCTTGACCCTTCTCCAAACTGTAAGTCTCATGATACGACTGTTTCAGCATAAGTGAATTACCACAAAAGTTTTTTTTATTTTTTATTTTTATTTTTTCATATTAAACTTGTAGTTTTATTCAGGTTTGATTTTAACAAATGTGTCAGGGTGAGAGCCCACAGGGAAGGGTGAAGCCCATGGGGGCAGGGCCCTCCCAGATGCCTGAGGAGGTGGGCAGGTCCCCTTTTCTCTCCTCCTCTTCCCTCTCCTGCTAAAGGGATTTGGGGAGAGACTTAGGCATAGGGAAGGGGCTGGTCCCCAGTCTGAGGGGATGGTGCTTGGGATAAAGGGCTATGGGGAACAGGAACCAGACCAGGGATGAGTGGGGGGAGGGCACAAGGACCATTTGCCAGAATCCACAGCTTTCTGATTCCAGAATGAATTAAAAAAAAAAAAAAAATCCTAAACCACAAGCAGCACCCACCCCCTCTCCCCCACAAGGGCTGTAGTGCGAGGGGAGAAGAGGAAGGCAACTTCACCAAGGTCATGGCTCACTCACTCCTGGCCAGGGGAACAGGGTGAAGGGCAGGGGCTCCCCAACAGATTGAGGGGGGGGGTACAAAATAAAACATCAAATAAATCGTGTAGGAGTCCAGCCAAGGGCCGGGCCAGAGCTGGGCCAGGCTGGGGGAGGGGGCCTCTGCAGGCTCGAGGATCACTGCTGCCACCACCGCCACCCTGGGAGATAGTTATTTTGCCGTGGCCTTGATTGCAACAGCTGCCTCCTCTGTCATGGCAGACAGCACTGTAATCAGGATCTCCTCTCCACAGTCATACTTCTGCTCAATCTCCTTGCCGAGGTCTCCCTCAGGCAGACGAAGGTCCTCTCGCACCTCCCCACTGTCCTGGAGCAGTGATAGATACCCATCCTGGATGCCTATCAGCTGGAAATCATTCCTTTTGATGTTGGGAACATCCATATTATGAGTTGACGGGCAGATATCTTCATATTTCTTCCCAGTAAAGATGTCAATACCAACCAGGTGAACCTTGGCATGGTCGTGCTTGCCAGTCTTGGAGGTGGACATCTCCACAATCTTACATGGCCGTCCTTTGAGCACCACAAAGCCATTCTTACGTAATGCTGAGCACTGCATTGGGAAGGTGGCTGAGGCCCCTGCATCTCCTGTCTCGAAGTCCAAATCATCTGCCATTTTAAGAGGCTTCGATTCCAAGTGGTCGCGCAAAGTCTGGTTCTCAACGGCTCAAGTACCCTTGTCCCGGCGGGCCGATCTGGCCCCCGGCCCTCAGGGATCATTTCTATAGTTTGTCACAAAAGTTTTTTTAGTTTAGGGCACAGAGATAGGAGTTAAGGAATGTAGCATAGAATATTAGAACGCAACATGAGTCAACTAACATGAATTATGACAGTAAATTAAAAACAGACAATACATCTTAAGTCTATTCCCAACTCTCCCTATTTGTGTCCAGGTGAGTGTTTCCAATCACTTACTTTCTACCTTCTCTTGACAATGACCAAGGTCAGGGTCCTTCCCTGTGCACGGCACTTGATGAGATTTCTTCTAAACTGTTTGTAGTCTGTTTCTTCCTTCCGGCTCAGTTCACTGGGGGACAGCAGTGCCTGGCTCTGGGGTCCCTAACTCAGCGTGAGCCGCGTCTGAACACATTTTCAGCTGATTTTGTGTACTGTGTCAGAGACAGCACTCTGAGTGCTGGGTGAGATGAGAGAACACGCGGGGAAAGGCCGCAGCCGGTAGGGGGGGAGGAGCTGGTTGGTTGGGAGCTTCCAGATCCCTCGCTTTCCTGCCTCTTTAAAGGCTCCAGATCGGCGATGCCTCTCTCTCTGCTTCCTGCCAGATCCAACCCACTCCAAGGATGAGATTATAAGAATAATGTTCTTTTTTATTGAGGTATAGCTGACATATAACAATATATTAGTGTCAGAGGCACAATATGCTGATTTGATATTTGTATATATTGTGAAATGATCACCACAATAAGTCTAGGTAACATTTATCAGCACACACAGTCACATTTTTTTTTCTTGTGATGAGAACTTTCAAGATTTACTTTCTTAGCAACTTTCAACTATGTAATGCAGTATTGTTAACCATAGTCAACTCGCTGTGCATTACATCCCAGAACTTATGTATTTTATAACTGGAAGCTGTACCTTTAACCCACCTCACTCACTTCACCCACCCCCCAAAATAACAATGTTCTCATCATTTATTAACGAATACCATGAGTCAACCACTACTGCTACGTTTCAACAGTCCCACAAGGGCAGGGAATACCGTCCTCATTTTATAGGGAGGCACTTGTGACTTAAGGGCCTCCCAGCCGGTCAGTGCAGAGGTGACATTCGGACTGAGCTCCATTCAGTTCCCTGCAGGCTGAGCCGCCCCGAACGCCCCCTCCTGGAAGCCCAGGCCACCGTCCCGCCGCTCTTCCTGGGCACCTGTGGATGGCCTGCCAGCTGCGGGCCAGGGCTCCGAGGCCTCTCTGCCACCCCGGCTGTGCTATCCCTCACGACTACCGTGGCCCCAGCCTCTGCTTGTCGACCAGTCCTAGACTGGTTAAGTTGCCACCTTCAAGATGCAAAGATGAAATGTGATGACATGTGAAAGTCCTGACAGGACCCAGCCCCTCAGCAGGTGCCCCTGGAAGCCCCTTCTCCCCTTCCTTCTCTTTCTACTCTTTTCCTCGTCCTCCTTTCTCCTCAGCTTCCTCCTGGGTAGCCTGGGGATGGAGAAGCCTGTCACAGAATTTCTGGGACCTGAAACGAGACCATGTGCCCGAAAGGCCTGGCACCGTGTCTGGAATGTAATTAGGTCTCAGTCCTTGCCCCCCTCCGTTCCCCTACGACATTTCCCACTCACTCAACAAAAAAAGTCAGCAGGTGACAATCCACATTTGTGTCACCTTCCCCTCCCTAGCCCTGTCCTCTTTTGTCTCGCCAGACTGTAATTTGATGAGGCTGCCACCGTGTGAGTTTGGGGAGACAGCGTCCGATCCCAGGGGTGGGCCTGTTTGAGGTTTGGGCACCTTTGTTCTGGCTGCCTGTTGCGTCAGCCCGGGCTGAGCCCCGGGAACAGGCTCTCTGGCTGCGCAGCCACCTGCTCTCTGTGTGCCCAGCTGCAGCACGGAGCCAGCGTCCAGAGGCTTCTCGGGATCCCCAGGATCACATGCGGGGTCAGCCGAGGAGAAGCTGGGAGACCTTTGGAAGCAGTCAGGAGTCTAGGCCTTAGCTGCGTCTCTGGCAGTTTAAAGATGCAGGTGGTTTAATATTCTGGAGAACATTTCCTGTCACAGCTAATCCTGCCCAATTCATCCTGCTTCGTGACTAGTTACTTCTGCTACTTGGATGAAGGAATTCCGTCTGAGAAGTGAACTGAGAACAGGATCGGGCTGTTTTTAGGGGCAGCTCCTGTGGGAAAGTCAGGTCGTAAGCTGACCTGTTCCTATTTGGTTGGCTCTTTGTTCGGTCACTTTCTATTTGAAGTATTAGACATTTTTAGAAATAGCTCTTATCTCCTAATGTAAATATATAGAAAAGCCTCATCAGTTTAACCTAATTCTTCCTCCCTCTTTCCGTCTAGTCTGAATTAGTCAAAAGTTTCTAATGTACTTAGAAAGAGATACAGCCTTTGCTTTCGACATCCATTGACAAGCAGGACTAAACCAACAAGCATTGCCTCATAGGTGTTCTTCGGAAATTGCTGTAACCATTGTTCTCAAGCAAATAGATGCTTCTAAAATATGTTTTAAATGTTGTCTCTAGCTTGATACTTCTTCCAAATAGAAGCTTTACACGGTTATAACTGGTTTAGCAAATTTCTTTCTTTGTAAGTAGTGAAAAAGTACAATTATAATCTGTTTGGAATATCTACCAGTTAAAGTATTTTGAATTAGTGCAAGGCAGAGCTAAGGAGGTTTCACCCCCAGTCTTGTCTCCGTCAGCACGGGGTGGCCTATCATATTCTACCACGTGTGGTCTTCCATTCATGCCGAAGACTGAGAGGACCGGCTCCTGTGCGTGTTTGGCTTCATGGCACCTGCCCACCCAGACCCAGTCCCTCCTGCTCCGTATCCCGGCAGCCACTCACCTCCTTCCGCTCCGATCCAGAGACTTGATTTTAAAACATTACAGGCAAACCCAGACTCGTGCTGTTGTGCCCTCTTTCTCCTCCTGGTACAGCTGGGAAGAGCAAGATAAAGGGAACAGGAAAGGTTTCATGTTGGATAGCCAGTGCCACAGTCCATGAGGTTGGTTGGTTTTATGAAAATTGGTGACCTCAAAGTAGGGTTGAGTCTCTTCCTCCCTAAAGACTCCCCCTTCTGTTTACTCCTTCCCTGCTAACTCCATGGCAGTCTCTAGAGATGGGAGGTCTCACCTGGGCGAGTCCCCTGGGGTCCAGAGGACAATACCTGGTTCACTAGTGCTTCATAAATGTTCTTGGAGTGTACGAAACACATAGAAGGTTCACCAGCATCCTAAAAGCCCTCTGGGGACTTCTGGTTCTGGTCTAACGTGTAGGGATCTTGGAAGCCATCACTCTTGTTCTGGCAACAAGAAAAAGTTAAACAAACTGAACATCAACAGCTCTTCTTTTATCTGACAGAGGATTGGGGTCGCAAGGCAGCCACTGCTCCAAACGCAGACAGAGAGCAGAGACAGCCACAGCTCACCAAGGGCAGAAGCTGCTCCTGGAGCCAGGACTGCCCCGTCACCCAGCACAGCACGTCCAGTTTCAGCAAAGAATTACAAGGCATCCCAAAAAGGCATACAACACAGTCTGAGATACAAAACAAGTATCAGAACCAGGCTCAGATGTGGTAGAAGTTTTGGAATGATCAGATTGAGAATTTAATAACCGATTAATATGGTAAGGACTCTCTTGGGAAAACTGTAAGCAGACAGATGGAAAGCCTAAGAAAGAAAGGGTGTTTTTAGAGAAAAACACTGTGACAAACAAAGAATGCTGTTGGTGGGCTCCTCAGTGGACTGGACCCAGGGGAGAAAGGAATCAGTGAGCTCGAACATGTGTCTACAGGAACTTTCCAAACTGAACAACAAAGAGAAAAAAAATTAAAGAACAGATAGTCCAGTAATTGTGGAACAATCACAAAAATTCTACCATATGTGTAATGGGAGTACTAGATGGAGAAGAAAGAGAGAAAGGAATAAAAGAAATATTTGAAGCAATAAGGACAAAGAATTTCCCCAAATGAATGAGGAACACGAAACCATAGATCCAGAAAACGTAGAGAACAGAAAGAAGAATACATCCTAAACCCTGCACACTTACTTAAGCATATTCTATTCAAGCTGCAGAAAAGCAGAAAATCTTGATTGAAGCCAGAGGAAGAACATCCACCTCACTTACAGACGAACAAAAATGAGACCTTCATCAGACATCTCTTCAGAAATTACACAAGCAAGAGGAGAGGAGAGTAAAATATTTAAAGTGTTGAAAGAAAAATAAAAACAAAAACCTATCAGCCCAGAATTCTGTATCCAGTAAATTATTCTTCAAAGGAGAAAGAAAAATACAAATACTATATGACTATTTATGTGAGGTACTAAGAGTAGTCAAATTCAAAGGGACGGAGAGCAGTGGGTGGCTGTCCTGGTGGGAGGAGTGGAAAAGTACTGTTTAATGGGGAAGTTTCAGTTTGGGAAGATAAAAGAATTCTGAAGATGAATGGTGATGAGGTCATGATTGAAAAACAATACGAATGCGCTGAATGCCCCTGAAAGGTAGACTTAAGAATGGTTGAAATTGTAAATTTTATGTTATATATATTTTGCCACAATAAATAAAAGTTTTAACGGAGAGAAAAATAACAAAACAAAAAAGATTTCCTCAGGCAAACAAAAAATTAATGGGATTTGTCCTCAACAGACTTGCTTTGCAAGAAATGTTAAAAAGAAATTTCTCCCAGAGAAAGAAAATGATATAGGTTAGAAACTTGTTTCTACACAAAGAAAAGAAGAGCATTAGAGAAGGCACCCACTAAAAAAGTAAATTTCAGAGACCTGCAGTAACCACATAGTATGGTCTGAAATACAAACTTCCTGACTGAAAGCAGGTCACGGCAGGTAGTCATGTCCTAGGGCGGCATTTTCCTCTAAGAGAGGTCAGCCTTCACCTCCACGCAGCCTGCCCATTGTCTTTCCTTGCTGACCCTTCAGAGCATAACTACTGCACCAGAGCAGAGGC